TCGATAGGATTAGAGAGCTGCAGCTGTTTTTGTTTGTTTAGTGATGAATGTGTTTAACAATAGGTCATTGGTAACGCTTGAGCCAGATAAGGCTCCAATGGCCGATGCAAACATGAGCCATGTTACTTCCGTATGGCAAAATATACATTTTACATTTTAGTCATTTAGCAGACGCTCTTAACCAGAGCGACTTACAGGAGCAATTAGGGTTAAGTGCCTTGCTCAAGGGCACATTAACGTCATTTAGCAGACGCTCTTAGCCAGAGCGACTCACAAATTGGTGCGTTCACCCTATAGCCAGTGGGATAACCACTTTACAATTTGGGGGGGGGGGGGGGGGGGGGGTTAGAAGGAATACTTTATCCTATCCCAGGTATTCCTTAAAGAGGTGGGGTTTCAAATGTCTCCGGAAGGTGGTGAGTGACTCCGCTGTCCTGGCGTCGTGAGGGAGCTTGTTCCACCATTGGGGTGCCAGAGCAGCGAACAGTTTTGACTGGGCTGAGCGGGAGCTATGCTTCCGCAGAGGAAGGGGAGCCAGCAGGCCAGAGGTGGATGAACGCAATGTCCTCGTTTGGGTGTAGGGACTGATCAGAGCCTGAAGGTACAGAGGTGCCGTTCCCCTCACTGCTCCATAGGCAAGCACCATGGTCTTGTAGCGGATGCGAGCTTCAACTGGAAGCCAGTGGAGTGTGCGGAGGAGGGGGGGTGACGTGAGAGAACTTGGGAAGGTTGAACACCAGACGGGCTGCGGCATTCTGGATGAGTTGTAGGGGTTTAATGGCACAGGCAGGGAGCCCAGCCAACAGCGAGTTGCAGTAGTCCAGACGGGAGATGACAAGTGCCTGGACCAGGACCTGCGCCGCTTCCTGTGTAAGGCAGGGTCGCACTCTCCGAATGTTGTAGAGCATGAACCTGCAGGAGCGGGTCACCGCCTTGATATTGGCGGAGAACGACAGGGTGTTGTCCAGGGTCACGCCTAGGCTCTTCGCACTCTGGGAGGAGGACACAGCGGAGTTGTCAACCGTGATGGCGAGATCATGGAAGGGGCAGTCCTTCCCCGGGAGGAAGAGCAGCTCCGTCTTGCCAGGGTTCAGCTTGAGGTGGTGATCCGTCATCCATACTGATATGTCTGCCAGACATGCAGAGATGCGATTCGCCACCTGGTTATCAGAAGGGGGAAAGGAGAAGATTAGTTGTGTATCGTCAGCGTAGCAATGATAGGAAAGGCCATGTGAGGATATGACAGAGCCAAGTGACTTGGTGTATAGGGAGAAAAGGAGAGGGCCCAGAACCGATCCCTGGGGGACACCAGTGGTGAGAGCACGTGGTGCGGAGACAGCTTCCCGCCACGCCACTTGGTAGGAGCGACCGGTCAGGTAGGACGCAATCCAGGAGTGAGCCGCGCCGGAGATGCCCATCTCGGAGAGGGTGGAGAGGAGGATCTGATGGTTCACAGTATCAAAGGCAGCAGACAGGTCTAGAAGGACAAGAGCAGAGGAGAGAGAGTTAGCTTTAGCAGTGCGGAGAGTCTCCGTGACACAGAGAAGAGCAGTCTCAGTTGAATGACCAGTCCTGAAACCTGATTGGTTTGGATCAAGAAGGTCATTCTGAGAGAGATAGCAAGAGAGTTGGCTAAAGACGGCACGCTCAATAGTTTTGGAAAGAAAAGAAAGAAGGGATACTGGTCTGTAGTTGTTGACATCAGTGGGGTCGAGTGTTGGTTTTTTGAGAAGGGGAGTAACTCTCGCTCTCTTGAAGACGGAAGGGACATGGCCAGCGGTCAAGGATGAGTTGATCAGCGAGGTGAGGTAGGGGAGAAGGTCACCGGAGATGGTCTGGAGAAGGGAGGAGGGGATGGGGTCAAGCGGGCAGGTTGTTGGGCGGCCTGCAGTCACAAGTCGCAGGATTTTATCTGGAGAGAGAGGGGAGAAAGAAGTCAAAGCATAGGGTAGGGCAGTGTGAGCAGGACCAGCAGTGTCATTAGACTTAACAAACGAGGATCGGATGTCGTCAACCTTCTTTTCAAAGTGGTTGACGAAGTCATCCACAGAGAGAGAGGAGGAGGGGGGGGGGGGGGGGGGGGGGGGGGGGGATTCAGGAGGGAGGAAAATGTGGCAAAGAGCTTCCTAGGGTTAGAGGCAGATGCTTGGAATTTAGAGTGGTAGAAGGTGGCCTTAGCAGCAGAAACAGATGAAGAAAATGTAGAGAGGAGGGAGTGAAAAGATGCCAGGTCGGCAGGGAGTTTAGTTTTCTTCCATTTCCGCTCCGCTGCCCGGAGCTCTGTTCTGTGAGCTCGCAATGAGTCATCAAGCCACGGAGCTGGAGGGGAGGACCGAGCCGGCCGGGAGGATAGGGGACACAGAGAGTCAAAGGATGCAGAAAGGGAGGAGAGGAGGGTTGAGGAGGCAGAATCAGGAGATTGGAGGGAGAAGGATTGAGCAGAGGGAAGAGATGATAGGATGGAAGAGGAGAGAGTAGTGGGAGAGAGAGAGCGAAGGTTGCGGCGGCGCATTACCATCTGTGTAGGGGCAGAGTGAGTAGTGTGGGAGGAGAGTGAGAGAGAAAAGGAAACAAAGTAGTGGTCGGAGACATGGAGGGGAGTTGCAGTGAGATTAGTAGAGGAGCAGCATCTAGTGAAGACGAGGTCAAGCGTATTGCCTGCCTTGTGAGTAGGGGGGGACGGTGAGAGGGTGAGGTCAAAAGAGGAGAGGAGTGGAAAGATATACATACAGTAATCCATTGGTGCAAACTCTTCACAGCGCAACTTCGGGACTGTTTACAAATGGAGTTCAAGTTTCCAATACCTGGGATAAACTGAAAAATATTGATTTACTACTCGATCAGATCAGTCTAAATTATTAGAAAAATGAAATACTATATCATTTTCCCCCAACTGACTTCATTGAGGTGAGTTATTGAGTTCATTGAGTGACAGTCATTACTTATCTCTTCAACCCAGCAGTTAAACTCTGATAAGCCTTTCCCAGGGGAGTGCATGGGTTAACATGGGTAAAACACCTACACACCCACATCCATACACATGCTTCATGTCTGGGTCAACAGTCAGCACAGACTTTTACTTTCTCCTCAGAACATTTGATATGCTCTCTTGTCATTACAGTCATCCTGTACAGTGCTCAACGTGTTTATAGGAGCATTTCATTGCTCAGGGCTAAATAAAAAAAGGGGCCCCTTGCTTTGCATGTGAACACAATAGGCCAGGCTCTTTCAAGGACCGCATTCTCTAAAGCAGGGGTGTCAAACACGCATTCGGTCTTCAACGAGGTCCCGAGGGCCGCATTGAAAATTGGTTATATTTCCTTGCATTCAGAATTTGCAAAAAATAGTCCTCTATCCATTGTTTTGGGAATTTTCCATGCTCCCTGACTGTCTAGTGACTATTAGCGAGCTGGACAGCAAATAAACTATATGAATGTAGGTCTACTGACTGTGCACAGCAATTACTAGTGAGCTGGATAGTCAAGAAACTGTATGAATATAGGTCCATTATAATTTATACACAGTTTCGATTTGGTTTTAGTCATTTTAAAGTATATTGGGTTCGTACCCCCCCCCCCCAGAAAAATATTTTACTCAAACCACCCGCGGCCCATATTGGACCCGGCTCGCGGGTGGTTTGTTTGACACCCCTGCTCTAACTGCTAACTATTAATCAACTAAATCACATTATTTCCATTGAAGTACAGTGAGTGTCTTATTCTAGTCAATCACGGTGTCAACACTAGAAGAAGTGAAGCCCGAAGGTAAAGATACAGTATACATCGTACTTTAAAGAAATGTACAGGTACAAGAACGACAACTTGTACAGGATGTGACTTCCGGGTATAGATGTCTGGCCAGTATCTATAAAACGAGTGCTGATCTAGGATCAGATTCCACCTGTCCATATAGTCTTTATTTATTATGATCTAAAAGGCATTCCTACTCTGGGACACTTTATGAATACGGGTCATACACTGCTTTTCATGGTGCAGGGGAAAAAGGGTGTGTCTGACCAAGGTGGGCTTGGGCATTCTTTATAGAGAGGAAACTAAAACAACCACTGTTTGCTCTTCGTTCAGAAGATAAGAGAGGAAGGTAATCAATAGCCTATGTGACACTCTCCACACAATAAAGTTGTCTGTGTAAAAATGTATTGCAACATATTATACAGTATGTGTGACTCACTTTAAGGGGTGTTAAGATATGGAATGTCACTAAAGTCTACGTTAAAACCCACTTTTCCCACAACTGTGAGTCATTCAGTCACTATCAACACAGACTCGCCATATCTGACAGTAAAAAGATGCACAATCTGCTGTATGAGGTTTAATGTGCATAGAAGGACTGGCTTACAAGTGCAGTTGGTCTGTGTAAGATTTCATTGGTCATATTGAAATACGCCTCTTGATTTTGGGAGAATATGACTAATGGAATATCTTTGCACTATATACTGTATGTTAGCTCACTAATACAGTTCTGGGCATTAGAAAGTTACTTTTTCCACACGCAAAATGCCTGCTGCAGCAAGGTACATTCTTAATGGTGACAAACTGTTAATGATAATGCCAAGCACCAAGTTCATTAACAATCATCTAACAAGAGCCCATTCCCAGACCTGTACTTTGTTTTTGTACAATTAATTAGGGATTTTGAAGAGGTTTTTGATGATGCAAAGAATGCATTCTGCACTGGTCAACTGCATTGAGACTCTAACATAAATACATTATAATATGAATGGTCAGAATATCATTATAACAGCACATAATGCTGCAAACAAGGAAAAGCAGCTCCAATCCCTGTTATGTAAGTTTTGTATTCTCTCAAATTCACTCTGTGTGCTGTAAATATGTAACATGACTCTATTCTTTTTCTTCAGCATTCTGCGCTCCCATACTGCATGCTAGCCAATCACAACACCCCTCGGACCCTCCCCTTTCCAGATAAAAAGAGGGCCAGGGAACAGTGAGCTCCATCTGCACGAGTCTCTCTCTCTGCAGCGAATCTCCCAGTCTCCACAGACCACCTACTGTAGCACTTGCTAAAACCAAAGTCATCATGTCCACCAGAGCTGTGAAGAGCACCAGCTACTCTGTGAGGTCCTCCTCTGCAGGCATGGGGCCTCAAAACTTCAGCAGCAACTCCTTCTCCGACGGCTATGGCGGCGGCGCCAGACAACAGAGCTACAGCGTCCGCAGCTCTTATGGGGGCGTTGGCAGCAGTGCCGGGGGTGTGGCAGCAGGTGGCTATAGGGTAGTTGGGGGGTACGTGGCTGGTGGGTCCGGGCAAAGAGGGGGCGTGATGGAGTTTGGGTATGCGGGCATGGGTGTTGGTGGTGGTTTGGGAATGGGTGGTGGTATGGGGATGGGGGGTGGGAAGATGACATGTACGGGACCCCCTCAAATCACCGCTGTTCAGGTGAACAAGAGCCTGCTGGCACCCTTGAACCTGGAGATCGACCCCAACATCCAGGTGGTCCGCACCCACGAGAAGGAGCAGATCAAGACCCTCAACAACCGCTTCGCTTCCTTCATCGATAAGGTCAGTTACTCATGAGTTCTGATCACACCAGGGTCAAATGCATAGTGCATGCCAAATACTTTCATACACTTGAGCTGAGCTTGATTTAGCTTGTCTTTTACAATGGTGGAGTAGTCCTGAAGGTGCAAACCTCGCCCACTCTGCACAGCGGTCAAGCTAAATCTAACTCACATCAGGTATTTTACAGCATTGCACAGTAAAATACCTGACCCATGTCTGGTTTGTATTAACTTGGCCTTTGGGAAGGGGCAGATTCACTTGTGATTTCGGTCATCTGTTTTGGATTTTTTATGTTAGCTATAACAATTCCTTTTAACTTCATCGAATAAGCTCCCTGCTCCAGTCAATCCGTACTGAATATACATTGTGTGCAAAACATTGTGCACAAAACTGAATGTATATTGTCAACAAAACTATGGAAATACATTCTAAGACTAATTGGGTACTATTTAGGCATGCAAGAATATAAATACAAACTTGGTTTTCAACAGAAAACCCTCCCGCACTGACCACTCCCCTTTTACTGTAAAATAAAGAGTGGCATGATGGGCTCAATTGGTAGAGCATGGCGCTTGTAACGCCAGGGTAGTGGGTTCGATCCCCGGGACCACCCATACGTAAACATTTATGCACACATGACTGTAAGTCGCTTTGGATAAAAGCGTCTGCTAAATGGCATATTATTATTATTATTAAATAGGGCCAGAGGCACAAGATGTGGTTGGTTGTATGAATACAGAGTTTGTTGTTTGGAAACCCCTTCTAGAAATTAACTACTGACTCTTAAGTCCACAAAATGATATATGGTGACACTTTGTTGTCTGCAGAATTTGTAGGCTACTAGGGTGCAGGAATCTATCTTGTCACAGGATCCTGTCTGCTCAATGTGCCATTGTGGCCTACACACTCAAACAGGATTTGGCAGGTTCACTGTCAGATATATCAGCCCATTCCTGCACAGGGCTTATCAACTGTCAACTACATTGATTACATGTTTCAAGCATCCCTTATTTGTAAAGTACCAAAGAATTCAAGGATCAATTTACAGGTTAAGCCATAAATCAGTTATGTTTACCGCCAGGTTAACCTATGTGCGGCATTCGACCCCCTCCTTGACCCCTCCTCCACACCTTAGAGATACACACCCTCTGTTCTCTCCTCCATGCTTGTGTTTGAGTGGAACCCCACCCAGGGGCAGGGGGTCAAAAGAAAACACTTGAACAACATGAATCATGTGTGTAACTTTGATTGAGAAAGAGTGCCACATCATGCTGAAACACGGTACTCTGCTTCAATGACACACATTTGTTTGTTGGCCATTCATTAGTCTGTACATAAATTCACACTTTTGCTCCATCCATTCATGCATAATATATATACATGAATTCATACATTAATTCATCCTGCCATTCATTCATTTGTTTGTTCGTGCCTTCTATCCATCCATCCACCCTTCCTTCCTCTCTCACCTTGGCCATCCCTTCCTTCCTTCATCCAGTCATTCACAAGTTTCAGTCAATGACACTGACCATTTCCCTTTTTATCCCTGCAGGTGCGTTTCCTGGAGCAGCAGAACAAGATGCTGGAGACCAAGTGGAGCCTCCTGCAGGACCAGACCACCACCCGCTCCAACATCGACGCCATGTTTGAGGCCTACATCTCCAACTTGCGCAGACAGCTCGACGGCCTGGGCAACGAGAAGATGAGGTTGGAGTCGGACCTGCACAACATGAAAGGGCTTGTGGAAGACTTCAAGACCAAGTGAGTGTGTTTGACATTAAAAGTTAAAGGGGTAGTTCACTCAAATTTGATTATTATTGAACTACTTTCTTAACTTAAAAGTGGTGTATGTTGTATAGTTAGAATTAAAACATTTTGACTAGGAGGGACCCAAATCTGAGTCTCAAATACAGTGTTATGATTTCAAGGAGCTATTGTTTTTGATTGAATAAATTCAAATCTTTAATCCTAAACGTTCTTTAATTTTAAGCTTGTCAGCAATGTTTCTTGTTTGATTGATGGGCTTGCTCTATTCTCAGGTATGAGGATGAGATCAACAAGCGTACCGAGTCTGAAAACAACTTTGTTCTCCTCAAGAAGGTCAGTAGACTAAATAATTCTACAAGCCCCCCTACATGGATAACTTACAGTGCATTGTTGCTTAACCACAAAAATTGGCTGAAGTAGAAAAGTACATGAACCAGGTATGTTCTGCTATGCTTTCTCAGGATGCAGATGCTGCCTACATGATGGAGATGGAGCTGAAGGCCAAGCGGGACTGTCTTACTGATGAGCTTGAGTTCCTCAGGACTATCTATGACGCGGTAATGTACCACGTCTATATTGCAATGGGAGAGACTGACAGAAAACATTTGAATGCCTAGCTCAGGGGTCTCCAACAGGTCGATCGCAAGCTACCAGTAGCTCGAAGACCACCTATGAGTAGCTCGCCAAACAATTCTGAAAGTACATGCAATTTTCACGTGTTCCACCGCAAAATGTGATAAGCAAATCTCACAAGTATCAGACACTGCAAGCTCCCAGCTACTATTTAATCAGCGGAACTTGACATTAAGATAATGGCGTCGGAGGGGATGGCTGCCGTTTTACGGCTCCTAACCAACAGGGCTATTTTGTATGTTTTTTTGCATTGTTTGTAATTTGTTTTGTACATAATGTTGCTGCTACCGTCTCTTATGACCGAAAAGAGCTTCTGGACATCAGAACAGCGATTAATCACCTCGAACTGGATAAAGATTTTTCTTGAATGAGTCCGATACGAAGGATATACTGCTTCTCCGAGACCAGGCCCAAATCCCAGTCATTATCGAGAAGAAAAGACAGAAATACAGGGGGCGGAGATCAAATCAAATCAAAATGTATTTGCCACATGCGCAGAATACAACAGGTGTAGACATTACAGTAAACAGCAAATAATTAAAGAGCAACAGTAAAATAAAATAACAGTAGGGAGGTTATATACAGGGGGTACCGAAACAGAGTCAATGTGCAGGGGCACCGGTTAGTCGAGGTAATTGAGGAAATTTTTACATGTGGGTAGAGTTAAAGTGATTATGCATAAATAATAAATGGAGTAGCAGTAGCGTAAAAGAGGGGGTGGGGTGGGGTGGACAATGCAAATAGTCCGGGTAGCCATGATTAGCTGTTCAGGAGTCTTATGGCTTGGGGGTAGAAGCTGTTAAGAAGCCTTTTGGACCTAGACTTGGCGCTCCGGTACCGCTTGCCGTGCGGTAGCAGAGAGAACAGTCTATGACTAGGGTGGTTGGAGTCTTTGATAATTTCCAGGACCTTCCTCTGACACCTCCTGGTATAGAGGTCCTGGATGGCAGGAAGCTTGGCCCCAGTGATGTACTGGGCTGTACGCACTACCCTCTGTAGTGCCTTGTGGTTGGAGGCCGAGCAGTTGCCATACCAGGCGGTGATGCAACCAGTCGGAATGCTCTCGATGGTGCAGCAGTATAACTTTATGAGGATCTGAGGACCCATGCCAAATCTTGAGGGAGAATAGGCTTTGTCGTGCCCTCTTCTCCACTGTCTTGGTGTGTTTGATGTGTTCGGGGTGCCTTGTGAGAATTCGTCGGCGAGTGGGTAACCCGCCTCTACCATCCGTTCTATTGTCCAACGTGCAATCACCGGAAAATAAACGATGATATCCGTTCGAGACTATCCTGACGGACATAAAAAACTGTAATATCTTATGTTTCACTGAACAACGACACGGATAATATAGAGCTGGCTGGGTTTTCCGTGCATCGGCAGGACAGAACAGCTACGTCTGGTAAGACGAGGGGTGAGGATGTGTGTCTATTTGTCAATAACAGCTGGTGTGCGATAATATTAAAGAAGTCTCGAGGTATTGCTCACCTGAGGTAGAGTACCTCATGATAAGCTGTTGACCACACTATCTACCAAAATAGTTTTCATCAATATTATTCTTAGCCGTCTATTTACCACCAAAAACCGATGCTGGCAAAAAGACCGTACCCAACGAGCTGTATAAGGACATAAGCAAACAAGAAAATGCTCATCCAGAAGCGGCACTCCTAGTGGCCAGGGACGTTAATGCAGGCAAACTTAAATACGTTTTACCTCATTTCTACCAGCATGTCACATAAATAATATAAATAATATGCCATTTAGCAGACACTTTTATCCAAAGCGACTTACAGTCATGTGTGCATACATTTTTACGTATGGGTGGTCCCGGGGATCAAACCCACTACCCTGGCGTTACAAGTGCCATGCTCTACCAATTGAGCTACAGAGGACCACGTGTGCAACCAGAGAGAAAAAAAAACTCCAGACCACCTTTACTCGACACACAGACGCATACAAAGCTCTCCCTCACCCTCCATTTGGCAAATCTGACCATAATTCTATCCTCCTGATTCCTGGTTAAAAGCAAAAACTAAAGCAGGAAGTACCATTGACTCGCTCAATTCGGAAGCGGTCAGATTCAGGACTGTTTTGCTAGCACAGACTGGAATATGTTCCGGGATTCATCCAATGGCATTGAGGAGTATACCACCTCAGTCAACGGCTTCATCAATAAGTTCATCGACGACGTCGTCCCCACAGTGACCGTGCATACATATCCCAACCAGAGCCATGGATTACAGGCAACATCCGCACTGAACTAAAGGCTAGAGCTGCCGCTTTCAAGGAGCGGGACACTAAACCGGACGCTTATAAAAATCCTGCTATGCCCTCAGACGAACCATCAAACAGGCAAAGCGTCAATACAGGACTAAGATTGAATCCTACTACACCGGCTCTGACGATTGTCGGATGTGGCAGGGCTTGCAAACTATTACAGACTACAAAGGGAATCCCAGCCGCGAGCTGCCCAGTGACGTGAGCCTACCAGACGGGCTAAATGCCTTTTATGCTCGCTTTGAGGCTAGCAACACTGAAGCATGCATGAGAGCACCAGCTGTTCTGGATGACCGTGTGATCACGCTCTCCATAGTCAATGTGAGCAAGACCTTTAAACAGGTCAACATTCACAAGGCCGCGGGGCCAGACGGATTGCCAGGACGTGTACTCCGAGCATGCGTGGACCAACTGGCAAGTGTCTTCACTCACATTTCCAACCTCTCCCTGACCGAGTCTGTAATACCTACATGTTTCAAGCAGACCACCATAGTCCCTGTGCCAGAGAAAGCGAAGGTAACCTGCCTAAATGACTAACGCCCCGTAACACTCACGTCAGTAGCCATGAAATGCTTTGATTTGATGGTCATGACTCACATCAAAACCATCATCCCGGAAACCCTAGACCCACTCCAATTCGCATACCACCCCAACAGATCCACAGATGACGCAATCTCAATCGCACTCCACACTGCCCTTTCCCACCTGGACAAAAGGAACACCTATATGAGAATGCTGTTCATTGACTACAGCTCAGCGTTCAACACCAAAGTGCTCACAAAGCTCATCACTAATCTAAGGACCCTGGGACTAAACACCTCCCTCTGCAACTGGATCCTGGACTTCCTGACAGGCCGCCCCCAGGTGATAAGGGTAGGCAACAACACATCTGCCACACTGATCCTCAACACTGGGGCCCCTCAGGGGTGCGTGCTTAGTCCCCTCCTGTACTCCCTGTTCACCCTTGACTGCGTGGCCAAGCACGACTCCAACACCATCATTAAGTTTGCTGATGACACAACAGTGTTAGGCTTGATCACCAACAACGATGAGACAGCCTATAGAGAGAAGGTCAGAGACCTGGCAGTGTGGTGCCAGGAAAACAACCTATCCCTCAATGTGAGCAAGACAAATGAGCTGATCGTGGACTACAGGAAAAGGAGGGCCGAACAGGCCCCTATTAACGACGGGGCTGTAGTGGAGCAGGTCGAGAGTTTCAAGTTCCTTGGTGTCCATATCACCAACAAACTATCATGGTCCAAACACACCAAGACAGTCATGGAGACAACACCTTTCCCCCCCAGGAGACTGAAAATATTTGGCATGGGTCCCCAGATCCTCAAAAAGTTATACAGCTGCACCACTGAGAACATCCTGACCGGTTGCATCACCGACTGGTATGGCAACTGCTCGGCATCCGACCGTAAGGCACTACAGAGGTTAGTGCGTACAGCCCAGTACATCACTGGGGCCAAGCTTCCTGCCATCCAGGACCTACTGTATATACTAGGCGGTGTCAGAAGAAAATTGTCAAAGAATCCAGTCACCCAAGTCATAGACTGTTCTCTCTGCTACCGCATAGCAAGCGGTACCGGAGCGCCAAGTCTAGGTCCAAAAGGCTCCTTAACAGCTTCTACCCCCAAGCCATAAGACTGCTGAACAACTAATCAAATGGCCACCTGGACTATTTACATTGACCCCCCCTCGCTGTTTATTATCTATGCATAGTCCCTACCTACCTCGACTAACCTGTACCCCCGCACATTGACTCGATACCGGTAACCCCTGTATATAGCCTCGTTATTGTTATTTTATTGTGTTATTTTTCATTTTTTACTTTAAATATTTTCTTAACTCTATTTCTTGAACTGCATTGTTGGTTAAGGGCTTGTAAGTAAGCATTTCACGGTAAGGTTGTACCTGTTGTATTCCGTATGTGACAAATAAAATGTGATTTGAATTTGATTTGATTATCCCACCCCTGGTTAGCCAATATTAGCTTAAAAAGTCAAACCTAAAACAATTTCCAGCAATATTGCCCCTTTCTGTCCGTGTGGTGTGGGAATTTTTCTATCACTCTGTGTGTAGCCAATAGTGATGGGTCGTTTGCGAATTAATGGCTCTTTTTGAACTTCTTTTTTTGGTGAACATCAGGAACCGAATCGCATATGTGAAAGAGCCATTCATTTGGCTCCCTGATTTGCGTACTTTTACTATTGCTTTTTGAGCAGTTATCTGGAGATAAATTATAAAACATTCTCTGAGGATGATAATTCCTCAGTGCAGGAACTATATAGTGAGGAGTCGTCCATTTTTTTTTGTAGGCCATCTAATAATTTGGTCAGTTAAAAAGGAATTTGAACTCACATTTCACGTTCTGACATAATGGTAGGCAACGTTTCAGGCTTTTAATGAGAGATTTACTATTTTTTCATGTTTTAGGTCAATATCTAAGCATTACTGAACGAAGAGCCGTTTGGGAGCCAAATTAACTTATCTTTTAGGTGAATGGAGCCAAATGAGCCGGCTCACAGAAAAGACTCGGAATGCCCATCACTAGAGCCAGTTGATGTGATAACTGGCTTGTGGGTTGACAGAAATACTGTTAATGGCAAAGTAGGCTTACCTGGCAGAAGTATATCATGAGTAAGTTTATCATTTGTATCTATTATGTGTTATTTGGCGGCAGGTAGCTTAGTGGTTAAGAGCGTTGTGCCAGTAACTGAAAGGTCACTGGTTCTAATCCCCGAGCCGACTAGGTGAAAAATCTGTCGATGTGCCCTTGAGCAAGGCACTTAACCCTAATTGCTCCTGTAAGTCGCTCTGGATAAGAGCGTCTGCTAAATGACCAATTATTTATTTTTAATTATTATTTGCAAACTTTGCCATGAAGTGAGCAGCAGCAGTACAGAACCATCACTAGACAGGAACATTAGATGGCACACTAGATGTGCAATTAAAGGGCAAGATGCCCAATTAAAGGGGAATTACAGACCAACATTTTTTTTTTCTGATGTGAATTAAGCATTGACATTTACTCAGAACATCCAATTTCGCTGTTTCTCGATAAACAATTGTAATTTTGAGACTGAAACCCCCCAAAAAATCTAAAACCAGGAAAAATAAACCTGAGAAAACATAATTTGGGAAAATATAAAACAAAATATGGCAAAGAAATCACTGATTTATTTAGTGGCCCCCTAAGAGCTTTTTATTAATCATTATTTTACCAGGTACACTACCAGTCAAACGTTTGGACAAACCTACTCATTCAAGGGTTCTTCTTTATATTTACTATTTTTTACATTGTAGAATAATAGTGAAGACATCAAAAGTACTTAATAACACATATGGAATCATATAGTAACCAAAAAAGTGTTAAACAAATCAAAATATATTTTATATTTGAGATTATTCAAATAGCCACCCTTTGCCTTGATGACAGCTTTGCACACTCTTGGCATTCCCTCAACCAGCGTCATGAGGTAGTCACCTGGAATGTATTTAAATTAACATTGTGGAATTTCTTTGTTGTGATAAGGTAGGGGGTATACAGAAGATAGCCCTATTTGGTAAAAGACCAAGTCCATATTATGGCAAGAACAGGTCAAATAAGTAAAGAGAAACGACAGTCCATCATTAATAGAAGACATGAAGGTCAGTCAATACGGAAAATTTCGAATATTCGAATTTTGAATAAATTGTGTGTAGAGTATTTTTTATTTATTTAACTAGGCAAGTCAGTTTAGAACAAATTCTTATTTACAATGACAGACTACCCTGGCGCTGCTGGGCCAATTGTGCACCGCCCTATGGGACTCCCAATCACAGCCTGATTGTGATATAGCCTGGAATCGAACCAGGGTCTTTAGTGACGCATCTAGCACTGAGATGCTTCAGAGCGCTGCGCCACTCGGGAGCCCATGCTTTATGAAATCTAAAGGCTTCTCTCCATCCTCTCTTGGTTCTTCAGGAGCTGCGTGAGCTGCAGGGCCAGATCAAGGACACCTCTGTCGTGGTGGAGATGGACAACAGCCGTAACCTGGACATGGACTCCATCGTGGCCGAAGTGCGCGCTCAGTACGAGGACATCGCCAACCGCAGCAGAGCTGAGGCCGAGACCTGGTACACGCAGAAGGTAAGCCCCTTCTCCAGTGAGGCACCCGAAACCCCTCACGCCTACGTGACCTTTCCGAGATTCAAAACTGGCTATGCTCCAATGTCCATACTAGCATATCACTGAGAATGGATGCCCAATGCCTAAATGGTGTGCTAGTGTGGAGACCAGTGGAGGCTGCTGAGGGGAGGATGGCTTATAATAATGTCTGGAATGGAATCAATGGAATGTCTCAGGTATCCACTCTGCTAGCCAGAAGCTAGCATTGATGGATGACTTCACTGTTATGTTATGTCTCTATGTTTTGGCTGCTGACAGTAACGTGATTTTGTCTCTGTAACAGTATGAACAGATGCAGGTGTCAGCCAGCAACTATGAGGACGACCTGAAAAACACCAAGGCAGAGATCGCAGATATCAACCGCAAAATCATGAGATATCAGTCTGAAATTGATATGATAAAGGGTCAGGTGAGTGCCACATTATGTTCCTCAATAAATATGTATCCCAGTGTATTTTTATGTAACACCCCTGGTGTGGATAGACTTTCTCTCCTACTCAGTGGTAGGGTAACCAACATCTACCAATACGAACATGACTAAAAACATTGTTTGCCTGAAAACAGCGCGGCCACCTGGAGAACCAGATCGCTGAGGCAGAGGAGCGTGGTGAGCTGGCGGTGAAGGATGCCAGGCTTCGCATTAACGACCTCAAGGTGGCCCTGCAGAGAGCCAAACAGGATATGACCATGCAAGTACGCCAGTACCAGGAGCTGATGAATGTCAAGCTGGCCCTGGACATTGAGATCGCCACCTACAGGAAGCTGCTGGAAGGAGAGGAGAGCAGGTACGAGACTTGGGACCATGTTCTTTTAGTCACAGGAAGGAGGAAATCATTCAGGCATGAGAGCATTAAAACATTGTGTTGAATGACCAGACTCTAAGATTAGGAGAATTTGGAGAATTTGATAATGACCAATTAGTTCATTTGCTCACTGAACACTCTCTCTCTCTCGGAGGTTAGGTCTCTCTGGGTATCGGCGTGGTTCGTCGTAGAGAAGAGGATATCTGTCTGTCTCGGAGAGAGTAGAGAGAGAGATTGCAGAGCGAGAGAGAGAGAGAGCGAGAGAGGAGGAGAGAGAGAAGAGAGAGAGAGAGAGAGAGAGAGAGAGAGAGAGAGAGCGAGAGGGAGCGAGAGAGAGAGAGCTAGCAGCGTGGAGAGACGAGGAGAGCGAGAGAGAGAGATTCGTCTCTAGCTCTCTCTCTATCTCTCTCTCTCTCTCTCTCTCTCTCTCTCTCTCTCTCTCTCTCTCTCTCTCTCTCTCCCTCCCCTCCCCCCCCTCAGGCTGGTGAATGGAATCAAGTCGGTCAACATCTCCAAACAGTCTTCTTGTAAGTGAATGCCCTCACACCCCACAGCTATGCTGTTTCACTTATTGTTTATTACTTATTAATGTACACCACAGGTGGTTCGTGGCACCTTAATTGGGGAGGGCAGACTTGTGGTAATGGTTCGTGATATGGGTGTCCATAAGAGTCCATAAGAGGAATGAGTGGAATGGTATCAAATACATTAAACACATGGTTTCTATGTGTTTGATGCCATTCCATTTACTCCATTTCAGCCATTGTTATGAGCTGTCCTCCACTCAGCAGCCTCCACTGATGTACATTGTACCTGTCAAATAAATGGGAGAAATAAATAACACAAATCCATGTTAACTCCAATAACCCGACGTGTTCATTTCCACTTCCAGCAATGAACTACAACTCTTACCCCCTGGAGAGCAGTCGCACCACCAGTTATGTCAGCGGCTCAATGGGGGGATACAAGGGCAGCAGCACCAGCTACGGCATCAGCACTTACGCCAGTTGCCATGAGAGCAGCCATGTAGGCAGCAGCTTCGACCTGCCTGGCAGCATCACCCTGGGAGGCACCAACGGTATCCAGGTCTCTACCAGCAGAGACGTGGATGCCAGCATCAGCCTGGGAGGTGCCAAAGGCACCAGCAGAGACGTGGATGCCAGTATCAGCCTGGAAGGCAGCAACAGCATGGCTACCAGCAGAGACATGGATGCCAGCGTCAGTGTCGATAGCAGTTCCACTGTCCCAAACACCAAATCCCAGACCACCTTCGTCAAGACTGTTGAAGCCGAGGTGACCTTGAATGTGGCTTCTGATGCGGCGTCCGACCATGCCGAGGAACAGCCGGCTGAGAGCGACGAATGAGGAGACTTCATCATCACGGGCGACGGTGCAGTTAGTTTACTGTAGATCTATCTGTCGCAGATTTGTGCTTCTCCAACCTACCTTTCACCCTTCCACTAGTTTCACTTTTCTAGCCAAGTTATTACTGTATTTACCTGCAGAACAGAACAATGACATGTCAAACAGGCTACATATATCCACCTAGAATCACAGGAAGTCGAACTGTATCCTCAGTCTAACTGTAACTTTTCCTACCCACAAAGGGTTTGTTTTAAATTGTAAAAGCCCCATGAAAGTCAACCCCTAGTGTCCATTCAAGTCACCAGCAGGTGTCATTGTGGTACATGTTTTTCTCTCTGCTTGCTCTGAGACCCATTAAAGTACTTGGAGAACAAACAACCTCTATGTGCTGTGACATTTATTCTATGAGTGTCCATAAGAGTCATTTTATAGGGGGATGCTGTTATCCTTATGCCCACCAAAAGGGACAATTTCATGAAAAGTGTCCATGTCATTCACCATTCACCAACAGCATTTTCATAATATGGAATGAAGATTCTATAGTTGTCAATGGAGATGAGGAAAATATCAAAACACACAACAACAAAAAATGAAACACTTTTGTATAAGAGATCAGAATGACAGACAGAGGTTTATAATAACAAGGAGCATAGCAGAGTGCAGCTACAAAAACACAAAAGGTCTTCAGATCAACAGACCATCAGTATTGATAGACAGGTACTGGCCTGAAGCATGTCACTCTCCAACCTCTACTTAGTACAAACAACCAAACACATTCCAACCACACTGTCCATGGACACACGTGAAAACACAAATGCATGCATGCAGACAGACACACACACACAGGCGCATGCGCGCGCACACACACACACACAAACGCAACATGTAAAATGTTGGTCCCATGTTTCATGAGCTGAAATAAAAGATCCCAGAAATTCTTCATATGCACAAAAAGATTATTTCTCTCAAATGTTGCGCACACATTTGTTTACATACCTGTTAGTGAGCATTTCTCATTTGCCAAGATAATCCATCCACCTGACAGGTGTGACATATCAATAAGCTGATTAAACAGCATGATCATTACACAGGTGCACCTTGTGCTGGGGACAATAAAAGGCCACTCTAAAATGTGCAGTTTTGTCACACAACACAATGCCACAGATGTCTCACGTTTTGAGGGAAAGTGCAATTGGCATGCTGACTGCAGGATTATCCACCAGAGCTGTTGCCAGAGAATGTAATGTTCATTTATCTACCATAAGCCGCCTCCAACATCGTTTTAGAGAATTTGGCAGTACGTCCAACCGGCCTCACAACTGCAGACCATGTGTAACCACGCAAGCCCAGGACATTCACATCTGGCTTCTTCACCGGCGAGATCGTCTGAGACCAGCCACCGGGACAGCTGATGAAACTGTGGGTTTGCACAGCCGAATAATTTTTACACAAACCGTCAGAAACCATCTCAGAGAAGCTCATCTGCGTGCTTGTTGTCCTCACCAGGGACTTGACCTGACTGCAGAGGGCAAATGCTCACCTTAGATAGCGACTGGCTCGCTGGAGAAGTGTGCTCTTCACGGATGAATCCCGGTTTCAACTGTACCAGGCTGATGGCGTTGTGTGGGTGAGCGGTTTGCTAATCTCAACCATGTGAACAGAGTGCCCCATGATGGCGGTGGGGTTATGGTATGGGCATAAGCTACGGACAATGAACACAATTATATTTTATCGATGGAAATTTGAATGCACAGAGATACCGTGATGAGATCCTGAGGCCCATTGTCGTGCCATTCATCCGCCACCATTACCTCATGTTTCAGCATGATAGTGCACGGCCCCATGTCGCAAAGATCTGTACACAATTCCTGGAGGCTGAAAATGTCCCAGTTCTTCCATGGCCTGCATACTCACCAGACATGTCACCCATTGAGTATGTTTGGGATCCTCTGGATCGGCGTGTAAGACAGCGTGATCCAGTTCCCGCCAATATCCAGCAACTTCGCACAGCCATTGAAGAGGAGTGGAACAAAATTCCACAGGCCACAATCAACAGCCTGATCAACTCTATGCGAAGAAGATGTGTCGTGCAGATTGAGGCAAATTATGGTCACACCAGATACTGACTGGTTTTCTGATCCACACCCCTACCTTTTTTTAAGGTATCTGTGACCAACATACAGTATGCATACCTGAATTCCCTCATGTGAAATTCATAGATTCATTTATTTAAATTGATTGATTTCCTTATATGAATTGTAACTCAGTAAAAGCTTTGAAATTGTTGCATGTTGTGTTCATTGTTTTGTTCAGTGTACAGTATGTGTGTACAGCGCATTTGGAAAGTATTCAGACCCCTTTACTTTTTCCACATTTTGTTACTTTACAGCCTTATTCTAAAATGGATTAAATAGTTTTTTCCCCTTATCAATCTACAAACAATACCCCATAATGACAAATCAAAACAGCTTTTTAGACATTTTTGTTAAAATAAAATAAAAAAAACGGAAATATCACATTTACATGCGTATTCAGACCCTTTACTCAGTACTTTGTTGAGGCACCTTCAGTAGTGAGACTTGAGTCTTCTTGGGTATGACGCTACAAGCTTGGCACACCTGTATTTGGGGAGTTTCTCCCATTCTTCTCTGCAGATCCTTTCAAGTCTGTCAGGTTGGATGGGGAACGTCGCTGCAAAGCTATTTTCAGGTCTCTCCAGAGATGTTAGATCGGGTTCAGGTCCGGGCTCTGGCTGGGCCACTCAAGGACATTCAGAGACTTGTCCCCTAGCCACTCCTGCATTGTCTTGGCTGTGTGCTTAGCATCGTCGTCCTGTTAGAAGGTGAACCTTCACCCCAGTTTGAGGTCCTGAGCGCTATAGAGCAGGTTTTCATCAAGGATCTCTCTGTACTTTGCTCCGTTCATCTTTCCCTCGATCCTGACTAGTCTCCCAGTGTCTGCCACTGAAAAACATCCACACAGCATGATGCTGCCACCACCATGCTTCACCGTAGGGATGATGCCAGGTTTCCCCCAGACGTGATGCTTGGCATTCAGGCCAAAGAGTTCAATCTTGGTTTCATCAGAACAGAGAATCGTGTTTCTCATGGTCTGAGAGTCTTTAGGTGCCTTTTGGCAAACTCCAAGCAGGCTGTCATGTGCCTTTTACTGAGGAGTGGATTCCGTCTGGCAACATATAGGCCTGATTGGCGGAGTGCTGCAGAGATGGTTGTCCTTCTGGAAGGTTCTCCCATATCCACGGAGGAACTGGAGCTCTGTCAGAGTGACCATTGGGTTTTTGGTCACCTCCCTGACCAAGGCCCTTCTCCCCCGATTGCACAGTTTGGCCGGGCGGTCAGCTCTAGGAAAAGTCTTGGTGGTCCAAACTTCTTCCATTTCAGAATGATGGCGGCCACTGTGTTCTTGGGGACCTTCAATGCTGCAGAAATATTTTGGTACTCTTCCCCAGATCTGTGCCTCGACACAATCCTGTATCGGAGCTCTATGGACAATTCCTTCGACCTCATGGATTGGTCTTTGCTCCTGGCATGCACTGCTAACTGTGGGACCTTATATAGACAGGTGTGTGCCTTTCCAAATCATGTCCAATCAATTGAATTTACCACAGGTGGACTCCAATCAAGTTGTAGAAACATCTCAAGGATGATCAATGGAAACAGGATGCACCTGAAGTCAATTTCGAGTCTCATAGCAAAGGGTCTGAATACTTATGTGAATAAGTTATTTCTGTTTGTTATTTTTAATAAATTTGCAAACATTTCTAAAAACCTGTTTTTGTTTTGTCATTATGGGGTATTATGTGTAGATTGATGAGAAAAAAACATTTATCAATTGTAGACGAAGGCTGTAACGTAACAACATTTGTTAACAGGAAGGATTCTGAATACTTTCCGAATGCACTGTTCTCTCTCTCTCTCTCTCTCTCTCTCTCTCTCAAAACCAACAATTGCGCTCAGTAGTATGCTGAATCCACAGTTCACTCTGCAGCCTCTGACAAGCCCAAACTGGGCCTGCATTTGACATTTAATGTGACTTAGCAGTGTGAGAAACCGGAGAGACCAATTCATGCATTATGATGAAGCCTGCAGTATCTATTATCATCTTTATAATGCCAAAGGGATTTAAGGTCATGCATTCCTGACATGACTTGTCAAATGTCATTGAATGTCACTGTCTACCTGTGTTTTTTTCTAACGACATTTGTGTGTATTCAATAGATATTTCTTTTTGAAGACTCGAAACAAGAAATATTTCAACACTGCACAACATGCTTTGCTGCGTACTTAAGGGTTTATTTGATTCCCCTAACTCAACTAGAAACTGGCATAAATCATGCACTTGTAGTATGCCAATGGAATATTACTGTGAGTCGATTTCTGTTTGAGTTGCCCCTTGCCACAATGTTTGCAAACAATGTTTGGGTTAAACACATTCGTGATGAATTTGATTTGTTTCATGATGGAGGGGGCATAGATTACACAAGAGGGGTTTAGGGCAGAGGGGAACAGGTCTGTACCTACAAGAAGTGCGGGGTATCGCTAAAGCTGTTATCTAAATTTAAGGCCAAAACACAAATGTCACCCATCCACTACGCAGAGGAAAGCCCACCCCACTCCCCCTCCACCAACTGCATCCATTGATGCTGACAAAACTGTAGCACTTAGCAATGCAGTACATACAGAAACAGACTGCTCTATATTACGGTTTCAAGGGGTGGCATTATGACTGTCATATGTCCATAGCATGTGGGCATGTGCCTCAGGCTGCTTTTATTTCATCCTTTGCATTACAGAGTGAGCTTAGCATGGGAACAATATTAAAGGGAGAATTACTTGACATTAACAGATGAATGAAGAGATAGAGAGCGCTATTCCTAAAACAAACAAAGGACACTGCATAGGTGCAGACTGAAGGCAGAGCCAAGCGCAAATATAAAAGCTTAACTCGTGTCTTTGTGATTGATGGATGTGGACCGT